TGTTTGTGGTCATGGGTTCATTAGTAGGGTGGTGATGTGAAAATCTTGTTACTGGGTAATCTTGGGAATTTGGGTTTTGCCCTCAGAAATAAGTTTGGTTTGGCTTTTCACATGGCGTTTTCTTCATGCTTGCCAAAACTTGAAGTTGATCAAACATTTTTTTTGTGTGATGTATTTGTTGGGGAGTATAATCAGGCCCAACCTCTTATATAAATATATATTACTCTTTCTTATTTTATCCGTTGTTATACTCACACATCAATTCATAACAGTATTGATTGGATATATTATTGTTTTCTAACTTACACAATATTCCTCGAGAGGTCCTTTTTTGGGCGTGATAAAATGCGAGTATGTATATACCATCACCATATGAACATACATCATTAACTGGTACATATATCAGAACGATATACAGAGATATTCTAGTTAATTAGCTAATAACAGGATAACGACATCACTTCAGATTTGAATTTTGAGGAAGAAGCTAAGTGAGTATTCTTTAATTAATCACCATGCATATTCTCAGGCTATTAACTGGGAATTAATAGATGATGAGGGGAATTCTTATTTTTAATTGTTATGTTGCATTATATATGCTGAGCATCTCACTCTACAGGATTATTTACCCTTATTTTGGTTACTCCTAATTAATTCACTATAGTGATCAAATCTCATCCGTTCAAGTGACAATTGAACGGTCCGTATGAACTGTCGTCATCAAAATCCCTCAGCCTGTTCTTATTGGGCCCAAATGTTATTTCGAACCCTGATAAGACTGGGCCAAAACAAAAGGATACAAACGTCCTTATCAACGTTATTATCTTTATCTTTCACTTCAAGCCATAACACTCGACCAATAGAAGTAGAGGCCTAAAAAGCTCTCCAAATTCGGCTTTGCTCACTTGTATTAAGCCTTCACTAAAAACGGATACTATTAGCAATTAATTAATACTTTTGTCCTTTTGACAAATAATTTTGTGGAGGCCCAAAATTCAAGGTTTCATTAGTTATGAACTTATGACGCACGATTATTGGTGTTTGACCTTTTAGCAAATAATTTTATTGAGGCTAAAAATCATAATTTTGTGAACTATAACCCATAATTTTTAGATATTTTTAGTCATTTTGATCCGTTGGCAAACAATTTCTTGAGAACAAAGTTCATGTTGTTCTGAGCTGTAACCCATTATTTTTTGCCAGTTTTAGTCATTTTGCCCCTTTGGCAAATGATTTTATGAAGCAAAAATTCATGATTTTGTGGGCTGCCAATGATGTTTGGTCATTTCTAGCCATTTCGACCGGTTGACAAATAATTTTCTAATGGCCAAAATTCACGATTTTTGAGCTATAATCCATGATTTTTAGCCATTTTAAGTTGTTCTGAACTATTTGCAAATAATATCGCGGATGGCAAAATTAAAGATTTCATGAGCCATATCCCACCATTTTGGCTATTTTTATAGTTTTGATTCATTGGCAAATAATTTCTGGACATCAAATTTGACGATTTTGTGAGCTATAACACCCGATTTTTTACCAGTATTAGTCATTTTGACCTGTTGGTATATAATTTTGCTGTGGTTAAAATTCACGATTTGGTGAGCTATAACCTGTATTTTTTGTCATTTTTAGTCCTTTTGAGCATTTGGAAAATAATTTTGTGGAGGACAAGCTAATGATTTCGTGAGCTATAACTCATAATTTTTTGGTCAGTTTTAGTCGTTTTGTCCCATTGGTAAATAGATTTGTTGAGACCAAAATTCACAACGTCGTGAGTTCTAAGCCAAAAGTTTTGGCCTTTTTTTGTTATTCGAACTATTGGCAAATAATTTTTTGGAGGCTGAAATTAACGATTTTGAGAACTATAACCCACCATTTTTACTATTTTAGTTGTTTTGAGCTTTTACCATATAATTTCACTAGTGTGCACCCCGTGCAAAGCACGGCTCGCTATTTTTTTAAGTATTGCATTTTGAACTTACTTTTCTCTAAGTTTTAAAATATTTAATTTGATTATTGTATGCTTAAAATTAGAAATCATATATCTACTGCTCTATACTTAAAAAGCAGGATCCAAGTTTTAAATTTGATTTAGAAACCATATTTACTTCTTTATATTTAGAGGACGATCCAAATTTTAATTTACTGTAGCATTGGATATCCTAATAAATAGCTTTAAGATGCCTTCTAAACTAAAATTGACAAAAAAATGTAATCATCCTAACATCGACTGCAAGTTGCATGATTAGAAATATGTAACGATTGAAAAAAAGAGAAATGTATATTACCATTAAGAGGTCAGTAAGAAAAAGGTTTGACCTGATAGTGATCACAATACTTGAGCAAGTAGTCGTTGAAGATGAAATTCGTGTTTCAATTTTGCTAACACGGCATGATAATCCAATTTTGATAAGAAACAATGTTCGAGGTCTTAATGAAAATTCATGGAGATTTAACTCAATAGAAAAAGAGCTTGTGCTTTAGTTAGGTCCTATTTATTTCATCTCATGTCAAAAATATAACTATAAAAGCTCATATTCTAGTCATGAAATCATATAAAGGGTGCTATGCCAGAATCTCAATGTAAACAAAACCAAAAATTAGATTTAGCTTGTATGAATGGTAGTTATATAATATAATTATATTTGCTTGACATTATTCAAACATTTTTTCATGCCGCATATAGACAATGACAAAGCTGAATAAGTAAACAGACACTATATTGAAAAATAGCTTAAGAAAAATTCTATGACTAAATACCTGAGTAAGTTCTCTGCAACAGTCAATTCATTAGTTGTAGCTAATAACTTCCGAGATGGCATCTCCAGTCCAATTACCCTGAAGGGGAAATTATTTTTCAGCAAATCATCTAATGAGTAATGACATCTCCAGAAATCTAAAGTTGAGATAAATTTTTAAGAATAAAACCACAATCAGATTGCTATAACTACTGATAGTGCCATCAATTCATTATATTCAAGAGATATAGGGTGCAAAGTATAAGAAAGCAACATTTAGTCAAATAGAGATCCATACAGAGTGATAGCAGTAATTCAACAACTTAGTGAAAAATTTAGAAAATAACGTAAAATGAGATGATGGTCACCTTCTTCTAGGAGGAGTTGCAGACTCATTCATAGGGAGTGATTCCAGCACTCATGCAACATCAGCGTCAACTTCATTCTGCACGTGCTCTCCCTCAGATTTTGAGGATTGCTCTCTAATTGGTGAACTGGAATTGGGCAAATGCTCATCTCTTGCTTTCAGATGTGAGCATAATATTTGCCCAATAATGTCCAAGGTACAATGACCAAGTTCAGGCAGCAGAAAGACCCCACTTTCATTTCGCTTAAGCTTCAACGAAATGAAAAGCTTCTTCAATTGTATATGAAGGAATTTGAAGGCAAAGTCATCTCACCATAGTTATATGATGTTTAAACAAATGTTGATACTCATGCCTTAATTGTAACTGGGATTTTATTAGATTTGACTATTTTGTACATGATATTTACAATTTTGTACACGAAGGCAATAGACGGACAACACTATAAACTGCAACAAATCTATCATGTAAATACTTTCAACACATTACTCAATGTCAGATTTCTTAATAAAGATGGTAAATAACAGTGAAGATAAAATCAAAGGCTAGACTTAAGAAGAGTTTTTCGAATTATCTGATGCAGTGAGAGCATATTTTCTTGAGTGAATTATGAATGTAATGAATGTAATTGTATTATAGTGAGAACTTGGAGGGAGAAATATGAGTTTGGAGGGAGAATAGATGATTTCATTAGCTTGGTTATATTTGAATTTCAAATAGATGGTAAAAGATATTTGAGGGGATGAAAATAATTATTTTAATCTTTATTTTTTGAATTAAACCGCTCAAATTGTACATGGTTGTATTTACACATTTTTTTCTAGCTATTGGAAAAAAACTGAATATAATGGAATATAATATTAAAAAGGGGGATGGAATATAATACCTAATAATTCTAAGATGCTTTTAATGTTGTTTGATCTCAATTTTATTTTTATACAAACTTATTCCTATAGCTAGCAACTATGAAGAACTTCAAATGAGTTGCATTTGGAAAATAGATACCTAATAATACTGTATGGTGCAAATATAACAATACTACTCCAACTCACATAATGGCCTAATAAAACAATATAGCAACAAAACTCTACATTCAATATAACATATATTCATGAGTCAGTCACTTGAGTGACAACCAACATGAATTTTTACGAAGGAGTTATCTCTTGATGCATATTTTAGTTCATCATACAAAATAATTCAAGCTATCCTCTTAACTATATCGTGCCTCAAAGACAAACATTATAATATCGTATATTTATCATTAGGGGGAAAAAGAAACAAAGCCAGTAAAAAGAAGAGAAATAAGAGCAAAACCTAAAATAAAACAATTGCAGGCTTAAATGGGATCTTGGATTATTTAGACGTGGAAAGCATCAAACAAACTTATTTCTCACGACACTCGATTTATTCTAAAGGGCTGGTATTATCATGTAGTCAGCAATTATAAAGTTATAAATTGAATAATTTGATAAATTTGTATTACCTGTGAATTTCCTGGAGCATCGAAATATACAACTTCATAAATTGTTGCTTCTGAAGCCTTTATTGATTCTGGTTGAGTATCGAAGAAATTGACAGATGAAGTCACTAACTGCAAGTTGTTCTCACTGTGAGTATTCCTACATGTATAATCAATAAGTTATTATCAGTTATATAGACAATTCACAATTCAATAATTTGACATTATTTTTCACAAAGTGACAATAATGTATAGTGTAACCTTATCACATTTGTA